CTATCTATCTATCTATCTATCTATCTATCTATCTATCTATCTATCTATCTATCTATCTATCTATCTGTTTGTCTGTCTGTCTGTCAGTCTGTCTATCAAACAGTTTTATATATATGGGGAGATGGGAGGGTGCAGCCCAATGCTTTATTTGAAAGTGTGACCTCTATCCAGAAAAAAAAAGTTTAGCTGGGGGAGTGGCATTATGAGGGAGGACTGGGGGTATGGTGGGGATCAACCTTATCAGTCGGCCTCCATGGGAAATGGATGCTTTCTGACTGCCCATATCTACTGTGGCAGCTGTTTTGTGAATGGACACACATGTATGGTCTCAGTGGCAGCTCTTCAGTTCAAATGCCTGCGACACATTCACAAAAATCCAGATGGACCCACTGGCCCAAAGGAAATGTCTGCTCCTACCCCATCCAGCCCTTTCTGGCAATAAGAACAGAGCAGGAAGTGTTCTGCTTTCCAAAGCCATGTCCTCATAATAACTTATAGCATTACCAATCATTGCTTTTGCCAGTATATCCATAATAAAATCAGGCTTTGTACTGCCACACCAGTAGCAGATGATACTATAAATCTACTGGTGTAGGCTTTCACGGCTGGTATCTTTTGGGCAGTGTTGGGCATCAGCATTTAGTGACCATGGTCTAGACAGCAGATTTCCTGGCATTTTGCTGGCAATTATGGCCAGCATCTTCAGAAGCAAAGTGGTCTGCTGTGCAGACCACAGGCAACTGAGAAAAGACTAACTGGGCTCCTGTCTTTATAGCCAGATATCCTGACTTCTGATTGGTCTTTAGCCAAGGTGGTTTCTGATTGGTGCAGGTTAGTGAGGGCTGATCTCTGATTGGTTCTTTGTTTGTGTCCAGCCCTGAATGGTCGTTTTGGTGGTGTTGGTTTTTGATTGTTTCCAATCTGAAGATGCTGGCCACAGCTGCCAGCGACACATCAGGAAATATGTTGTCTAGACCACGGTCACTAAACCCTGAAGCCTAACACTGCCCAAAACTATAAATCCTTTGTGAGGAAATGGCCCAAGACTTCACTTGGGCTGTCCCTTTGCCCCATGTAGTGTTTCTGTGTTCCTGGAGAAAGGGGATGGTAATTCCTACTCCTTTAGCCCTCTTCCTTTAGAGCAGTGTTTCTCAGCCTTGACAACTTGAAGATGTGTGGACATGGCTGGCTGGGGAATTCTGGAAGTTGAAGTCCACACATCTTCAAGTTGCCAAGGTTGAGAAACACTGCTTTAGAGACTTTTAATGGACTGCCCTCTCTGCCAGCCAGGTGAAATAGCAGGTCTGTTTTAAAACAGGAGGAAGAGGAAGCCAGAAAAAGCCAAGAGACTCACCACATGCAAGATTTCTGCTCTATGCTTGCATCATCATAAGTTTTATTTCCCTGTTTGGCTCTGCTGTGATGCAAATAGAATTGTTACAAAGAAAGTTTTGCACTGTGCCTGCTGGTGTTGGGAGGGATATGGGCAGTTTCTCACTGGAAGGAACTATTGCTTCATCCCCTTTCTCCCCCACCCCCCAAAGGAGATTAGACCACTGAAGTGCCACACTCTCTTTTTGCCTGTCTTAAATTAAACATAGGTGCAGCTTAATAGCTCCCTTTTACAGCAACCACTCAAGCTGTTTAAAAATTGTAGAACAGGCAGAACATGAAGTAATGAGATGGTTGAGGAGGTGGGTTTGGCACCAGCTGGATGCTGAATTCTGCACTCTCCTCTTGTTCAACTGGAGGGAGCACAGATGCTCTGCTTGCTCTTGCGGCGATGAGTTTGGCAACGGTTACAGGGCAGTTGAGAACATCTGTCAGGTTAGGGAATGAAAACTGTAACACAGTAGAAGTGACCTGAGCTTGCTTAATGCATTTCCAGGATTGATCAAAGCCATGTTCTTAAAGGATGAAGTCACTGGGCAAAATTAATAAGGTCCTTTTGTTGTCTTTGGGATGATTCTGGGTCCTCCTGTGCAAGGAACTCCCTTCTTTCATACCTCCATGCACACGTTTGTATCTCCCACCTTGGGCTCTCCCCCCTCCCCAGTTGCTCTGGGTGGGGGGTTGCCTGTTTTCTGGCCAGGCTATCAGCCCAACATAGCAATTCCATTGTGTCTCCTCTGAGAGAGGAGGACCCAAATTTTGTGCTGATCCTTCAAGGCTTCAGTTGATGTGGCTGCTGTAGCAAGCTGAATCTGCGGCTGTTACTCTCCTTCCTGTCTTCTGGCTTAGGAAGAAAAAGGGGCTGTTACCAAAGCACAGCACTTCTTGGAATCCAACATGTACTCAGCAGAAGACCCTTACACTATTGTCCTGACTACCTACGCCCTCACGCTCCTGCGCAGCCCTTCAGCAGCAGCAGCTCTTCGGAAAATGAATGGCATAGCCATTACTCAAGGTAAAGATGCTCCAGCTGTAACCTCTGTCTTGGGGTACTTCCACTTGGGACTTCGTTGATGCATTTGGATTGGCACAGGGCCCTGTGACTCCATACCATTGCCATCATTGGGCAGCTGGGCCAATTTACATCCAGCTCAACTGCAGCTCATGCAGAAAAAAACTCATGGAGAAAATCTGTCTATGTGGTCATTAGGAGTCAAAGATGATCAATCAATCAATCAACTGCACCACTGCAGAAATAACCAGAAGCCCACTTTCTGCTTCTAATGCTGGAGCTTTGTGCAGCTGAGGGGGATGAGATGCTTTCCCATTAGTGGGAATTCCTAGCTCGTTGGAAAGAAATGATGTAAAGCCAGTTGGGACCCTGCCTGTCCATCAGCACAATAACTCTCCAAAAGCAGAACACAATGGGACCAAATTTGGTGTAGAGAGAGAAGGGGGCATAAGAAAGATAAAGTTAAAAAGTGGACTGGATCCACCCAGGTGCTGTGGAAACAACAACAACAAAAATTGGAAAATTACCCCAGTGCATTCCAATGGGAGGAGCAGTTGGGCAGTGGGTTGAAATATTAGTGACTGCTCCCTTCTGAGCTCCTGTCCCTCTTCTGTCTGGGTTCTGCAACCCTGAGCAGAGTATATGCAGCCTGCCCTGTACTTCCCAGTGCACGCGTACGCACTCTCACACACACATACATACAGATATGACAAAAAGGGTGAGCAGGCAGACGTATACATACATGGAGAGAAACTCAACATGTTACTTCTTTACATAGAAAAAAATGCAGATGCCTCCTATGGCCACTGTTGGTAAAATGGTTAGAATGCATGTGTTGCCTTTCTTCTTCTCTCTATCTGCAAACATCTCACCCAGATGTCCATTATAGGCTTCTTAAGGGAAAACCAGTTTGGCTTTGGAGTCTGCTGCCATGTACCTCCTTTTCTCTTTCAGATGGCTTCACACACTGGAATTTAATGGGAACTCTTGCTACTGGTGAAGACACATTCATGGGATTCAGTGATGGCCTCTCCCAATCAGGTAATTCTTCATTATAGTAACCTTAACTTTGGAACTGCAGCCAAGAGTGAGAGGGGAAAAGAACAGTTCACCTAGAGAGATATAAGAATCCTGAGGACCTTTTTTTCTATCATAACTGAACTCAAAGATGGTGACTGACCTAGTCTTGGAGAAGGGGAAGCCCATCTACATTATCCCTGTGCTGCAGGATTGAAAACCAATATGGGAAACTTGAGACTGTAGCTGAGCCAGAAGAGGAGGATCTGAAAGGAGAGCTGTTTTGCCTGGCAGCAGGACCTTCCTCTATTGAGCTATCAAATGCCCCACTCTGCCACCCCTCTCTCTTTCAGTCGTATCTGCTGAAGTTGAAATGACAGCCTATGCCCTGCTGACGTATACTGTGCTGGGAGATGTTGCATCTGCACTGCCCGTAGTCAAGTGGCTATCTCAGCAGAGGAATGCACTGGGTGGTTTCTCGTCCACCCAGGTGAGTCTTCACTAGGGCAGGTAGTTCTGCCTTTAACCAAAAAATGGAAATGCTTTAGTGAGCTAAGATGAAATTAGAAATTCCAGGGTTCATTACCTACCTTACTTTCATTTCCTTAGAGGCTAGAGAAGACTTCTTGGCATTTTATGTTATTTGTGTTTCTTTACGTAGGGATTATGAGATTTTATTTACTTATTTATATTTCAAATTTGTCACCGCCCATCTCATTGCAGAGCGACGGCGAGAGATGCACTGCCTCCTGTCATCTCTCCAGAGATATTGCTAGCAGCCCAGAATGCTTATTCATTTTACTGAATCCTAAAACTCTCAGAGTCCTCATTACATTAATCCTCTCTTTTCAAAACACTGAGCTAAATAGACAACACCGGGCTGTGTATTTAGACTCAGGCTATTGTTTTACTCGTTTACTTGAACTTCTGTTCTGCTGTAACTGTAAAAAGATCAGGCATAAAATTTACATTGTGTCTGATGAGGAGCACTTTATGAAGAGCTCCCTGCTCTGTTTTTCTTGTTTGAGAAGGACTATAAGGTAGCATCTCTTCTACAGATGTGGCCAGCTTTCCATAGAGGACTTCACATTATTATTATTATTATTATTATTATTATTATTATTATTATTATTATTATTATTATTATTTGTAGCTCATACAATGAAGAGTATAACAAATGTGTTCTATCTTAACCCATGGGTAATAACCCATAAGTCCAGTGTGTGCACAGTCTTCATCTATGGCATCTACCAGACTCCTATTTCAACATGTCTTAATTTTTTTCTACATAAGTAGAAAACTGGCATGATGGAAAGTAAAATGTTGCTTTTGGCATTATTTTTATTTGCAAGAACACTTCTGGGCCCAACATGAGCCTGACAGAAAATAGAAAATAAATATCATAGGCAGCTGTAGTCAATGCTTTGTTTGGAAAGTGTTTCTACTTGCCCAGAAATAAACAAAACCAGGAATAAGCTGGGATGGTCAAGATCATTGCCCTGCGGGGCGGGGGTGGGGTGGGGTGTCTATTAGGGTAATATGGAACAATCTCACCAGTTTGTCTTTTGATAAATGATTTGTAATGGGTGTATCCAGTGGCAGCTCTTTGATGAATAAACCATCTGTCCTCGTAGCAGCCATTTTATGAGAGCACCCATGCCTGCTTTCAAAATGCCAGATATGCCCCCTAGATACAATATATTGCCTACCCTGGTATAAACCTATGCAATAAGGAAACTGTTCGCCTTCACGATAGCTAACAAATTCAGAGTGGTAACTCATTTTGTGATACCTTTGAAAAAGAAGGACCAGTTCCAGGCTCCTCATTATTTCAAGGACATTGTTTAATTTCTGAGCAAAACACTGGGGAATGGTTTTCCGATGCATGTGTCTCTAGGGGCTGTAGTCCAAATAGGCACCTGCCTCTCTGTAGCAGACAGGAAGATGGAGTGGTGGAGAGAGTAAAATGCAAAGCAGCTGCATGTGGCGTTGATTTGGGATTGCTCCTTAACTTTTTTTTTCTTTCTCCCATTCTTCTGAACGGCAGGATACTTGTGTGGCCCTCCAAGCTCTGGCTGAATATGCTATCCTGTCCTATATTGGGGGGGTCAACCTCACCATTTCACTGGCCTCCACCAACTTGGACTACCAAGAGACCTTTGAGTTAAACAGAGCCAACAAAAAGCTTCTGCAGACTGCAGTGGTAAAAGGACCTCACCCTTTTTGCTTCATTCCCAGAATCCCCTGCTTATGCTTGCTTACATTCGAATTAAACCCTATTTTCTCCACAGATCCCCTCCATTCCCACAGGGTTATTTGTGAGTGCCAAGGGGGAAGGCTGCTGTCTCCTGCAGGTGAGGAACCTTGGATGCTTGCCCGTTTGTAGGCAGCAAATCCTTTTTTCACTCTGCTTTCCTTCACTGCCTGCTTCTCATGGGAGATGGAGACGCAGCGCTTGCTTCTTCTCTTGGGCAGATTGATGTTTCCTACAATATCCCTGATCCTGTGGCTAAGCCAGCTTTCCAGCTCCTGGTGAATCTACAAGAGCCCAAGCTGAAGAGGCACCGACGAGCCCCACGCCTACCTAAGCTTGTCTCTGTAGAGGAAAATCATTCAGAGGCCCCACGTCGGGACCGAGTCCTGGGTGATGATGATGATCCTGCCTCTGACCAGGACCATCAGGAATATAAAGTGATGGTGGAGGTGTGCATGAGGTGAGGCTCACCAAATCCGTAGTCCTATATGTAGCTCTACTAGTGGCCCTCGGCCTCTGCCTCAGCCTCACCAGGGAGCAGGACAGTTGTTACATTCTGCTCCTGAGACCAAAGAAGTCAAATGAGGAGAAGGCTTCCAGATGGCTTCCCTCATCACCACCACCTACTCCCTTCAGTCTCATCTATTCATGTCTATAGTTCAAGCTGCCTTAGAGGCTGAAACCTGAGGTGATTAGAAAGAGGATATTATTGTCCTGGTTTGTATATGTTTGTAGTACAAACTTTAGAGTGACCAAGTGTGTTCATAGAATATACTTTCCTTGGCTAATAAATTAAGCCATCTTCTGGGTTTGCACAATACATAAAACCATAAACTAATCAAATGGGTTGGGCTTGGATAGTATATCAAGCCAGAACTTAACCAACCAACTCAAGGGTAAACTAACCAACTTAGCATGTAGCTTGAATACAATTACTAAGTCTGGCCTGCTTCAGCATATTGTCTGAATTGGTTGGCTTTGAAGGGAGACTCCAGAAAAGTTTCAGCAAGGAAAGAAGTAGGGAAGGTAGGTTACCTCTCTCATCCTTTCTAAGCTGATCCTAAGAGCAGAGATACTGTTGTTCAATGGTGCCTCTCCCATGAGGATCAACCTCATGTTTGCCAGCTTCCTTTATCCTTTGAAGAGTATAAATGTTTTTCAACTGGACCATCCATCCTCTTTTTCCATTAATGCTGCTAATAGTGTTGAGGGAATCTGGGAAAAAGCCTTTTGGCCCCATCCCTCAGTTCTGGCTGTGGGTATTTGAGCCCCTTCATGCTGGAGATCTTTCATCTTCAGTCCTGAATGGGGTTGTATTATCCCATTTGGGCCTAGTGCCCAGTCTGGGGGTTCTCCTGGACCTACAGCTCCTGCTTGAAAAGCAAATGGCAGCTGTGACCAGGAAAGCCTTCACCAAGGTTCATCCTGTGCACCAGTTGCACTCTTTCCTGGACCAGGAGGCCCTTTTCACATTCAATCATGCCTTGGTCACCTTGCGGATGGACTGTTTGTTAATTAGTTCTCGTTTCCCCCTCCTTCTGGTTTATTGTCCTGAGAAGGTGGCTTCACTCTGGCTCCTCCAACATGGCAGTCCTGGAGGTACCTTTGTTCTCGGGTTTCCGAGCTGACATCGAGAGCCTGGAAAAGGTAAGTCTTCTTGGCCCATCCACCAATCTTCCATTTTCTTCTTTTAGAGCCTGTAGATGTTCCACACTGTCATGTCCTTTTAGAGTTCTGTATATTGTAGGCGTTCAAAAGGTAGATTTGATTAGACTTGAGTTCCTTCTGTATGCCGTTTTTCTACATAAAGGATTTGGGTTCCACTTATAAGGTACAAAAGCAAAGGTGGAAAGGATGTTGAAAAACTCAAGATGGGGAGGCAGATGAAGTAGGACAAAAGGACATTTTCCCTTCACTAGAACTATATCAGAGGTGCACAACCTGAGGTTCCAGTACTGTGGGGTATAGTACTGGAGAACTTCATAAATTGTTAATTTTTAATGGGGAGGAAAAGAAAAACATAACTGGAAAATTATGGTTTTATACTAGCTACATTGCATTTTAATTAAATATAAATGAGTTGAAATCAGATTTGGTTCTTGTCCTGGCCACACCCACTACCTTCTGGGGTGCAGCCGCCAATATGGCACAGAAGGCCAATGTAATCCACGGCCCAGAAAAAGTTGAGCATCCCTGAATAGGAGCCTCAAATAAGCTCAGTGTAGATATATGTGATTTTGTTCCCTTCCCCTTTATCCAATAAAACAATTATAGGTAGGTAGGTAGATAGGTAGGTAGGATAAAAAGTTCTAGCTGGCCATAGACCTCTTTTGGGGCTTGATGGATGAAACTTGGTCTCTCTGTGCATGCAAGCACTAACCTTGCTGGCGTTATCTCATTTCTTTTGCCACATGTTTTTTCATTCCTTTTTTAACAAAATGTTCTTAGTTTACTTGATTAAAAAAATATATAACATGTGTACTTCTTAGTTTGCCAGCTTGCTTGCTATGTCCAGTTTCAATCTGGTGGGTGGGGATGATGCATCCAATGTTTTTATCTTTCAGAAATGTGACTATTTGATAGAAGTTGGCTTGTGTGGGTCTGTATTAATATAATTTGCCAAGGGAACCCACATCCTTATTAATCTGTTACATTGAACCTTCTAACTAAGGCTACCGTTCAGATTGTTTTGATTTTAAATTCTTCAAAGCAATATCCTACTGCACGGTTTACTTTAGTCAAATAAGATGGATAATATAGCCAGGGCAAAACACCTGTAATTCTTGGGATATATGTGGTCTTCAGATGAATTTCATCCAGCCATCAGCCAAATTTCAAACTTCCATCCAAGGGGCCATTTCATACCTTCGCTAAAAGCTCTTTGTCCCTTCTGAAGAGGCTATTTGGAGGTGGGAGAGAGATACAAGAGGGAAAGAGAGCAAAAAAGGGTATTTCAAAGGCAGAAAGGTGTACTTGTCTACATTTTGCTGGGCTCCCACTACCTGCTTTCTACTATGTGGCTTCCAATAAACTATTCCTGAGGAAATGTGACACCTAATGAAGACAGCAGGATGTGAAGTCTATCCAGAAAAGAGTGTGTCTGCAGGGAAGGGGTAAAAAGAAAACCTCAAAATGGCAGCCACAACCATTGAATCAAAGCCTTTTTAAGGTGCAGAGTAGGGCTTTGATACCATGCTTGTAGCCACCATTTTGACTTTCCTGACCCGCCTGCAGACACCCCGTGTGTTTCATATGCTTTAGAGCAGTGTTTCTCAACCTTGGCAACTTTAAGATGTGTGGACTTCAACTCCCAGGAT